GTGGGTAGAATACTCACCACCCCAACATGCATTCAGTCAGTCATTTCTGTGTGTACAGTTCTGTGGCATTGGTTGCATTCTTCAGACTGTTACCATTCTCACTCCCCTTAAATTACTTCACCCTATCCATTTACACTCATTTTATCAGATGAAAGGAGGAGCGAAGCGAGTATTAGAGAGATTAAGTGATTCCTTCATGCTGGTGGGATAAAGTAGCAGGAAACTGGAAACCATGATCTTCTGACTGTGGTCTTTGACACAGATTCTCCTTTTCAAAGGTAGCATGTCCAAGAATTTTCAGAGTGAGTTTACAATCACCACATTGCTCTACAGCTTTGTTTGTTCCTCCTGGCCTGTCCAACTAGAACCCTGATTTTGGAGTCAGACAATACTGGTGTCAAGTCTCATTGCTAGATTATCCCAGCAGCATGATGGATTACTTCATTTCTCTACTACTCTCTCCTCTCCTTTTATCTGGTAAATGGAGATACCAGTATCTGTCTCAGAAGATGGATGTATGAGCCAAATGACAGGCATGTATATGAATGTCTTTTGTTGAAATTAGGTACCAATACAAATAAGAAAAACACCAAGATAAACCCTTGTATACAAAAAAAAAAAAAGATTAACAAGGGTCTACTGAACACCCCCAAACACTATACACAAAAGCACATGGTCCACAGTTGTGACTTCACTTTCTCCAGCTGTGAACGAGAAGGGAGGAGCAAGCATGGTCCCCTAGTAAATAAGGATTGGACTGGGTTCTCTATAGTCGGAGTCTATGTGAATTTAGAATTCCCTGATCCAAGTTATAAACACACTTTTGGTAGGAAATCGCTAGTATTAATGTTACTAAACATTATTGTCAATCCTCAGGAAAGGTCTTCTTATGAAAAATGGAGAAGTCTTCACATTGATGTACATGTACTGAGTCATATCTAGCAGTCCCTGGGTGGAGCAAGTGGTGAAGGCTGGGTTGGTTAAGAAGAGGCTGCAGTGTGAATCCGCCCTGGGGGCTGGGGAGGAAAGGCTGGGAGTGGGTCTACTTGGAATCAAGATCACAGCTATTGCAAACCCTGGGTGTGGAGCACAGTCCCACTGGGATGCGGGTGAGGTAGAACAGGCTCGCTGGGCACAGGTTTGTTTTTCATATATGCTTAAATGTATAGAAAAAAAGAAATGGGATGTGAGGGAAGAGAGACGTTCCATTTTTAAGAAATTGATGAATTTCAGTATACTTTTAGTTCTGTGTTTTTTGTTTTAAATTCACGGAGCATTCATGACTATAGGTGATTCAAATTACTTTTCAAAAGAAGAGATCTCTATGGTACTGGGAGGGGTAGAAAAGCAGCAGAGGTGAGTGGATCGAGACTTCTCGGTTCCTTGTCATTTTGCAACTAGGTTTCAGCTGATTATTATCCTGCAGGAATGGGACTCAGCGTGGGAGTTGGGAGAAGCAGGCAAATTTAACCAGAAGGCGGGTGTTGGGAAGGTGGTGTTGATGGGGCTCAGGTAAGAGGGGGTAGAGACACGGTTGGATGGATTGGGCTTAGGTAGAAACCCTTCTGGATTCTTGGTGAGAGGTGAATATGGATCCTTCCCAGTTGTGGCCCCGCAAATGAGCCGAGGAAACCCTGATAATTTTTAATTTTCATCCGGTGGCTGTAAGAGGCCAGATGACAAATTGCTTCCCACCTGTGGCGTTCATTTCACACCGGCCCTGCTTGGTTTTGCCTGGTTTTATTCTCGGAACAGAAAAGAGGCTGGGATTCTGAAAAGTTGCTTCAACCACAACCCCAGAACAAAGGAAGGCCTTGTTCAGGGTTATGCCCATCGGCTGGAGGAGTTCAATTCATCAGCTTGGATCTCTGCTTTTCAAGTTCGTGCCCTAGTTGGCGTTGTTTCCCGGTGTCTGTCCAGGGGGAGCCTTGCGGAGGGGAGGCAAGGCTGCTTCTTAACCCAGATGGATGGAGGTCTGCCGCCGGCTCCGCTTATGCTCGCCAGTTCGCTCTGGACCTCTGTATTGAACCGAGAAGGCCGAGGCCGGCTTGGCTCCCGTGTTTGGATGCTGCTATAATTTCTAAAATTCCCACAGACTACGCAGTCCTCCCTGGTGACACTGACACCAGATTTAGGAGCCTGGAATGACAGCCCCCCCTCGTGTTAACCAACCTCCTATGCTGCAGCTGACCTTTCGTCAGAAGTGACCAGCGCTGGTTGGCATGGATTTGGACAAGGTCCGGAGTGTGCTCAACCCAATCTGGAACTTGTTCCTGGATGGTGCATTTATTTCCCCTGGAGACGGTGTTACCTTCCAGCCCCGTCGGGAAAAGCGACTCCTCTGGAATGTCTCCACCCCCCTGGGAGACCTGTGGGAAAATTTCTAGCGCCCGGGGTACTCGCGAGCGTTGAGAGGAGATTTGTGCAGGGTGTGTAGCCGCGCGAGGCCCGGGGGCGAATGGCATCATGCCACCCATGTGAGCGTGCCGCCACCGTTGTCTTCACTTTGGTCTCTTTCTGTTTCCCTTGACAGGGCAATTGGGTTTTGATGCGGTGCCAGCACCCTTCTGACAATGAGCTACTGGAACTTGGAGAAGAGGGACTGTGTGCAGTACCGCAGGCATTTTCTGGTGGACAACAGTGTGTTTCATGGTGAGCTGCCTGCTGTGCCTAAGTATCTGGATCTTTTATTTTCTTTCTGACAGCACTTTTATTCTAGCGCCCTGGATGCAAATATGGTGTAATTGTTGGCCTGAGCCAGGAGCCGGAGTTAACTTGTTGGTGGATAATTGCCCGGGGAAGCCCAGTTGGACTCGCTCCCCACAGTTAGCAGTGTGACCCCTTCTCCATAACTACGGCGGCATGCCCGCCGGTTGCTACCCTCCAGGTTCCTTCATGTGCCCATCCTCCCTCTTGCACTAGACCTTCAACTGCAGCCATAGTCCTTTTTGGTGTTTGCCGTCTTGTGGGGCGAGCTCCTGAGTGGTGCTGGAAGGTTGGTGGTTCCAGCCCACCTCGAGGTGCCTCAGAAGACTGAAGGTCACAACCTGGAAAACCCCGGGGAGCAGTTCCTTGCGCAGGCGCTGTTGTCAGGCATCAGAATCCACTGGACTGCAGCAGCAGCAGTAGCAACAGAGCAGCGACCACAGAAACAAGTCTGGGAGTGTGCACCGTCCATATCTGTGGGCCACCGTCGGTGCTCGCTCCCGGCAGGGACATGCCTTCTGAATTCAAACAGCGAAAAAGAGGAAGGCCTTCCGCAAGATGGACTGGCACAGTGGCTGGGGCAATGGGCTTTGACATAACAACCCTTGTGGGCACGGCACAGGACCAGGCCGTGTTTCATAGGGTCTCAAAGAGTCGCAACCAACTCAACAGCTCTGAGCAATAGCATAGGCTCCAGTTGAAGGCTCACCGTAAAGCCCACTGAGTTTTATTTTCTTCCCTTGGGGCTCTAAGACTTCTCTCCTGGGGTGGATTGCTGCAGCTAGATCCTAGAGTAATCCATGTTGGCACCACCCTTGGCAAACGACGGTGAATTGCCTTTATCTTGCTCGCCTCTGTTTGCTGTATGTAGACGGTCAGGGGATAGGCTTTGGCACCCTGCTATCAGGATACCCTTGAGCGAAATTTATTTAAGAGCCAGATTTACGCGTTGCCAGGATTTCTGGAATAACGTGGTGGGAAGGTTGTGGAGGAAGAGAGATTTCTGGGGAGTGAGCATGCACTGGCTGACAGAATCCTCTAATTTAAGCTTCCTTCAGCTTTCTAACTTGGGTACTGCCCACTCCCACCCCCTAATTTGACGACAGGCTCAACTTGTTGCTTCCAATTAAGTTTAAGATAACAAACTTCCCTTCCCTCTACTGTGCTCTTTCACCTTCATTATGTCTCCTCGGGATCAGACACCCTGGAGTCCCTGACTTGGTATATAGGGTCAACTTTGAAAGGTGGGTGCTTGAAAGGCCTGGCGATCTGCTTCTGAAGGGTCTCCCTGGGAAGTCCTCGAGAAGACAGTTGTGTCCAGACACACACGGTCACCCGTGAGTCGGGATGGACTCAACAGCAGCTGGCACAGGACCTTACGTAGGAATGGCTGGCTTCATTTTGTGGGTGGAAGATGGAAAGAGCGGACATGACAGGATGGGCCCAAGCCGCCATATCTCAGTATTAGCAAGAATTAACGCGCTTGCCTCTGCATTTCTCTGTGGCCTTTCTTGGCATTGTCGTGGCAAAGCGCCCTACGCGAGGGAAGGAGCCGTGGGAGCCGTGACTTAATGCTGGCACTGAGGTTCCATCGCTCCATCTCTGTCACACACACAGGGTTGGCTCTATGGTACTTTCTGTTGCAACTTCCTTTGTGTTTAGAAATAATAACTGTATCTCGTCAGAGAAACATGGAAGACTAGCTTTATTTTTCAAATTATGCTTTGTGCCAATTTGAAAAAAGGTGAAAATGCCTTCATTATTTTAGAATGCCTCCATGCAGACATCAGAAGACTCTAAAAAGGTACGAACCATTCCCTATTTATTCTTACAGTGATTCCATTAATCAGTATAATACTGTATTACAGCTACTTACACTAACAGCTTGATGAACACTGTCACACTGAGTCCATCTAACTCCTTCGCAATACTTATTTGTTCCATTTTATGGCTGGAGGAACATAGGCTTTGGGAGGCTGTGAAGCAGTGCTCTGATAGTCAAACTGCTCTGCATGACTCCAGGTACTGGCTGCGTTTGACACTGTTGTCACTCACGGTGACCCCTGTCCTTAGGAATTTCCAGGGCTGGTCTTTTGGAAGTAAATCACCAGGCATTTCTTCCTAGTTGCCTCTTTTGCACCATTTAGGAACTTGACCTCCATAACCCCACTTTTGCCATTTCTTTTGAGAAGTTAACATTTTGAGAGGTTACCTTAACACTATTCTCTCTGGCGTAAACAATAACCAGAGATGTATGATCTTGAGGATACTTTCTAATCCTTTATATCTAGTTCTCTCTCAAATAAATGTGCTCATTTGGATGACTTCCAAGATTCTTTCCAATTCTAATTAATCTCTGTGATTCCATTCAAGTATTTCTAAGAACGAGGACTGTTGTATTTGGTGCAAAATACATTGTAATGGTGCAAGAGGCAACTTTTCATTAAGCACAAGACACACAAGGGGGCAGTATAATACTTAAAATAGGAATTGGTTATCCTTTTTTTTTTTTGTATTACTCTTTTGAAAGGACTTAGAAATATTAAATCCTTCCAAGAGTGCAAGGATTAGAGCCAATTAGAATTATGATTCTGTTCAAATTATAATAACACAAGAGCTTAAAGTACTTCTGATATGTCTAAGGATATATTTTAATTCAAGAAGAAATGATCCCATCTATTCTGTTTCTTTAACACAAACGTATTGTCTGTTTAAATAGGAACTTAATACAAGGGAGAGTTGTGAGAAATCTTGGCATATTTTGAGCTCTTACCTTTATAAAATCATTCTGCTTCAGAGAGGAGGTGGAGACAGGCCACGCCAAGTCACAATGAACAGGTTTCTTGTAACTGGGTTTCTGGAGCGTGAAGAAAGCAGTCAGAGATGTTTTGTTTACTAGCTTGGCATCTTGTCTATGTTATTGTTTCCTTCCATTACCAAGCCAACTACAATCCCCCAAAACAAACAAACAAACCTTTTCTCATTAAAAGAGTAAAATCTTTTCTGTAATACACAGAAAAAAAAATTTCCTCTGAAAAATGATAGACTTTGTAATATGCAGACTTGGTTTACTCGGCGTTCCTAAGAGAAAAGGGCTACCGTAAAATGAGGGTCCTTTTGTACCAGCATTGTGGAAAGTGATACAATACTATGTCAAACGACTGGGATAGAAATTACCTATAAGCCATCAGTCCCTCTGCTGGGTCAATATCTTTAAGATGCAAGAATGATAACTTGAACAGACACGCATACTTGTGTTCATTGCAGCACTGTTCACAACAGCAAAAAGGTGGAAACAACCTCACTGCCCACCAGTAGAAGAATGGATCAAGAAACTGGTGTATACACACAATGGCATATACCGTGCATCACTAAGAAACAAGGATGAAACTACAAAACACCTCATAGCATGGGTGGACTGGAGAACATTATGCTGTTGAGTGAAATTAGCTGACCATAAAACAAATATTATATGAGACCACAGTTCTAAGCAGAACAACAACAACAACAACAACAGCAACAGGATAAAGACTTTCATAGCAAAGGGAGCAGACTCTGGAGATTGCCAAGAAGGGGGCGGTGGGGGAAGTGAAGCCATGGGCTAGACTGTTGAACGGTATTAACTTTTGTGAAATGGAAGATGGGGTTCCGCAAGAGGGAGAAGAGAAATCAAGGAGCAGGAGTGGGAAGGGTCAACTATTGGGGATACTGGTTAGTAGTTTAAACTGTTGAATAAAAAGTCGATGATCTGAAATGTAACCCCCATCTAATTTACAATTTATAAATTGTTAAAAAATAAAAGTCAAATGAGGGTTTTTGTGGTCAGCTGCCATATGGACCGGAATGGTCAACAAAGCGAAAATGGGAACTGTAACTTTTGTGCATAGTGTCACAGTTCATAAAGTATAGTCACGGCTTATTTAAAACAATTATTATAAAGATAAAATGTTGTCATGGGAGGCCCTTGATGGCCTAAAGGTTAATGTGCTTGGCAGCTAACCAAAACTTTGTAAGTTCTAGTCCACCTAGAACCTCCTTGGATGAGATTTTCTTCTGAAAAATCATCCATTGAAGATCCAAAATGTTTCATTGAAGAGTCAGTGCAGTGGGCATGGTTCTACTGTGATGCCATGAACTGGTATCCACTCACTGGATGGCAACTTGTTGTTTTTTAAAATGTTGTAATTGGAACAATTTAGAAACTACTCATAATTCCATGACCCAAAGAGAAATACTGTTATATTTTTGTCTGTTCCCTTCTGGTCATTTATGCAATATTTCATCATTATAACCTTTTTTGAAGTAAGAATGATATATCTTGAACAGCGAGGAAATCGAGTCTGTTGGATAACACAAATGAGCTGGTTGTGTTCTGTTTAGTGATGAGAAAAATCCTGTGAGAACACTGTGTGAAGCTTGTAGTGGAATTACCATCTGCCCTTTCCCACTGGTGTCTTTTGCTCAGATTTTTAGGGGATCTACGGACCTAAAGGGATTGAGGACCTGCCACACAGCTGATAGCGTCGTTTACTCCCTTCTCTGCTTTAGCTTTCGTGATAGGTGTGCAAGGGAGGCAATAACTTGCACAAACAATGCATTGTAGTGTGAACATTACCTTAATGGCCTCTACTTCCAGAAATTACTTCAATTAGAAATAATGACTTAAAAAAAAAGGAGAAATAATAGCTTTTTCCTAAGGAGCTATGGTAGAGCAGTTGATTAAGCACTTGTGTGCTAAACACAAAGTTGATGGTTCCAACCCACGAGCAGCTCTGTTAGAAAGATGAGACTATCTGCAGTTCCGTGTTAGGTGAATTGGGTCATACGTATGAGTTGATGGACTCAATGGCAGTCGTTTGTTTTACATTCCTTTACCTGGATTAAGAGGAGCCTAGCTTTATCTTTCGTTTCCTCCGATCACATGGTTTCATTCCAAACCAGATATC